TCGCGCCACCGGGACGACCGTCGGCGATGGAGAGAACAACGCCGCTACTGAGCGCGGCTTGCCCGCTGGGGCCAGCGATGAGGTGATCAGAATCACTATTCCGGTACCTAGGCTCAATATTCCTGCGGAGATTAAGCTTAGTGAATTATCGCGGGAAGTTGCGCCACGAGTCCGCGCCTTCGTCCGCGATGTCCGGAAGTATTTTGATTTCGTGCGGGGCGGAAATCATGACAGTATCCGTTGCTTATTTTTAGCTAACGCTCTTGAAGGCGCCGCGAAAACCTGGCATGATGACTGGACTAACGCGCGGTTGCAATATACTTCAGAGCAACTTTTGGAGGCGCTATTAATTCGTTTTGCCCCGCAGATTCAAACGCGCGAACTAGAAGCGCTAGAAAAGCTTGCTGCTGGGCAGCATCAGATGCGGGCAAACGAAACGGTAGCCGCGTACCATAGTCGTTTCGAGGCACTCATAGCACCCATTCCTGACTTAAGGGAGGTTGATCGGATTTTCTGGTTTATCCGCGGCCTTTCCTCTGAGTTCTCAGGAGAATGTGCTACCGACCATGACGGAAAGCCTTTTCAGGAATATGCCAAACTTGTGCAGCACACGCTTGGTGTAGAGGCCCGTCAACTTGCTAAACTTCGTTCCCAAGCCCAAACCCGCGTGCTTCTGCGTGCTTCCACCGCTGTGCAGGATCCCGCGCCCATCATCACTGACGACAGGGACCTCCCGGCACCGGAGGTCAGGCCTCGGGCTGCTACTGTTGCAGCTGGGCGAAATACAGCTCGCCAGGCCTCCGGTGCTGGTGAGTCGAACGTGGGCGCAGGGGTCGGGGTGGCAAGCATAGGGACAAGGGTCGGCCCAGGGCCGCTGCCGCGGGAACAGGGGCGACGGTGCTAGGCAAGCGTGGCCGGGATTCAAATCCGGCCGAATGGATGAATAAGTTTTACTGCACTCGGGCGGAGTACGAGTACCGCCGGAAAAATAGCCGTTGCCTCCGCTGTGGGGAGGATAAGCACCTAGTAGCAGAGTGCCCGTTGCTGTCAGAAAAGAGAGCTAGGAACGGGGAAAAATAGGGGGTTGCCCAGGACAGTGTTAGGGAAGCACTCCCTGGGTTACAAACCCGAACGGTGCCCGTTATCTGCCCGGTTGGACGTGCTGTCCGTGCTGTTTTACCGGCCGTTTTAAACCAAGTTGAGAAGGCCGTTGGATGGCGTTTTTCGTTTGACGCTCATACTGCTCGTCCTGGTTTTGACGAGCACTGTAATCTTTTTGCTATTCCACGGCGTCTAACCTCTAGTAACTTGGGTGGGCATACCGTTTGGATTTCCCCTTCCTCTTTCAAGGAACTTCAGTCTCAGCTGGCTTACTATCGTAATTGCAAACGTCAGCGACCGGACACCGCTGCCTGTCTCCTGTTACCAGCACATGTATCCCCGAGGGCTGCCTCCTTGCTGATAGGGATGCGTCGGCAAGCTTTTCAACGGTGTAGACATGACGGGTCAACTTGTTTCCCTTCCAGGTCTGCCATATACTGCTGACGTTTGGTACGATCCCCCTCTTGTCCTGGGGCACCTTGACACGGAGCCCCATGTTTCAGTCCTGTGTGCAAAAGTTGCTGCGTCAACAGGGCCCAGAGTCCCGTTAGTTGGCATTCGTGTCGCTGGACATTCTTTAACTGCCATGGCCGACTCTGGTGCCAGCGACGACTTCATTTCTGCGTCCATCGTTGAGCAACTCGGACTGAAACCTCAACCGACATCGTGGTCATCTGTCACCCTTGCTGACGGGGGTAAGCAGGTCATTTTGGGTCAAGTTTCCCTTCGTATATCCTTGGGCCCTTTGCGCCTAAATGTCCGTCCGTATGTGCTGCCTAAGTTTACTGATGCAGCCGCGTTTATCTTAGGGTCCGCTACCCTTGATCAGTATGGGGCTCATCTGAATTATGAGACCCACACCTTGCAGTTGCGGAAGGGAACCTTGTGTTATAAGGCGCCTTTCACCACTGCGGAACGGATGGGAGAAGGGAATACTAGTGCTGCGCACTCCGAACCCTGTGTGAATTTTGCTGCTGCCGCTATCTGTAAGCGAATTGAGCCTGAACCCGTTGGGCGCAAAGCAGCTATCCGTATGATTCGCAAGGGGGCGCATGGATTGCTAGTACGGCCTAAATTGCAACTGAACACAGCCGTTACCCAGATCACTGAAAATGACCCTGCGGTTGAAGCTCTCCTTAACGAATACTCAGATATCTTCCGTGAGGTCCCTGGACTTCCCCCGATGAGACCTGTAGATCATACCATACCTTTGGCTCCTGGTGCGCAGCCTGTTTCGCGCCCTATGTATCGCCTCAGCCCCCTGGAGCTGGATGAGGTGACACGCCAGGTAGCCGACCTACTGAGGAAAGGTATGATTCGACCCAGCACATCCCCGTATTCTGCTCCCATTTTATTTGTGGGTAAAAAGGACGGGACTCTGCGTATGTGCATAGACTATAGGGGTTTAAATGCGACCACCGTTAAAAATCGCTATTGTAACGTGCAAGCGCAGTTACATAACTCTCAATGCTTCTTTTCAACGGGGTTCACTCAGCTATTCTCAAGATCTTCCTTTTGCGACGTCGTACATTAGTGCGGGTCGTACACTGGATGGCTACACCTTCTCTGGTGTAATCGCATCCGGTGTCTTTCGACACCACCATGACTGGTTGTGATAAGCCTTAACGTAACATTGGCATCGAGACGGTGAAATTTTTCTTTCTGGGATTATGCTTTTTCGTCCATTTCTTTCACTTTATCGTCGGTCGGCTTTACCTACTGTTCTTCAAACTTCTTCGTCTCCTGTATCTTCTCCGAGGATGAATACTGGAGCTTCGGCCGATCCGGCGGTAAACGCCGTTACTTCGCCGATGGCGGCCTTGGCGCTTGCACCGGCGCCTACAGTCGCTTCACCTGATCAGCCTTCTGGGTCACAACCTCGGGCTGTCCCTCTTCCTACTGCCGTGGATCCGGCGCCGCTTCCGTCGCCGGTCAATGGTGATGCTACAATGTCCGATTCACAGCCGGGCACTGTTACTCGGCGCCTGCGCCCCCTCGAGCCTCCGCAGCCCAACAGACGTCGTCTTGTTTCAGCGGATGCTGCAGCCAAAGTGCAATTGAGTTTGCCCGACTACCTTTCTTTCTTGGTCGACGATTTAGTTGGCTACCTCGACTTGGCAGGTTACACTCTTTCTGATTCAGCTGCCACCAATTGGGTCGTCTTAAGCGTGGGTCCGGCGTCTCTCGTTACAGATCTTCGTAAATCGCTTTCTGTGTTGACGCCGCCGGTGATTCCCAGCGCTTCTTGGCTTCTGAACTGGTTCACTGAAGCCGTTGTCTTGTCATCCGGCGCCTCATCTTACAATGCGCTTTGCCGTATGTTCAACGCCAAACCAGCGCGTTCTGTGGAGCAAGTGCTTCAACATCTGCACGACATTCGTCGGGAGCTGCCGGCTGCGACTCCGGAGGAGCTTATCGTCTATCAACTGGTTCGTCTGTTGCCTGACAACTTACGCGATCGTCTCATGTACGATCGCACTGTCGAAATCAGGCGCCCATGGACCAGTTTGGACTGTTTTCTTCGCGTCTTGAAGACTTACGCGGAGGAACTCAAGTCCTCCGCTTCACCTTCGTCAGGTTCATCGCGTCAAGGTGCTTCTGGCTCTGGTGCTGGAGCGTCTGGCTCTGGTCCCCGTTCGACTCGTTCAATCTCGGCTGGACGGCAACGTCCGGACTCTGATGCCAAACGCCCGCGTTTGAGTGCGTCGATGCCGGATATAGTTCCTTTGGCTGATCGTTTCCGTCAGCCTACTGGGCGGGCTAAGCAGAGGGTTGCAAAAACGGTCTAATCCCCCAATCCCGGGGGGTGGTAGCGGTCAGCCATCCCCCCATCCTGGCTGGGGTGACCGACTCCCATCTCCCATCTCAGGGGCCCGGTGCTAATCCCATCCCTTGAGACAGGTTTCCCATCCTGCCGGCCTGGGTCCCATCCCCAATCCTATGGTCGGGTTTTCCAATCCCATCCTGCAGCTGTGTTCCCCCAATCCTCATCCTGCCAGCCAGGGTCCCTTCCCAATCCCTTCGACCAGGGCCATCCCCATCCTGCAGCTGTGTTCAGATCCGAAAGGTGTCAGCCAGGGTCCCATCCCCATCCCTTGAGCTGGTGTCACAATCCTTATCCTGAGATGCCAGCTGCATAACTAATCCTCACGTATACACAGTTGCGGTTAACTTCCCAATCCTGTAACGTGTCTCAACCTGTTTGAGTCGGGTGTAACTCTTAGCCAGGCTGGGCTGGCCATTAGGTATGAAAAATGGACTCTTGTACATTACACATAGGACACCCGTAAAACTTCGCAGGAAGGTTGCACAACAGATGCACACCGCTGTGCGGCACTTCAATACGGCACTTCCGCACCACTGTACGGCAGCTAAGCTTAACCTCTCAAATTACAGCTCTATAGCGAGTTTCTGGGCCGTGCCCAACTAACTTTGTTAGGCCACCACCCATGTTCCACCAGACGCATATGTTAGTATGAGCAGTGTGTGCAAACTTGCTCACACGCACTGCTGAGACAGTGTTACTTGGCTTGCCAGGAACCACCAAGTACCAGCAGGAGGCACCAAGAACCAAATTGGGACACGTGTACCCTTAAAATATGGTCAAACGCATGCTGGGCCTTAATCATGCACGATAGCAAAATTGATGTGATCATGCATATAATTAAACCGACCACCATTCGTATTCGTACGTACAACAGGTATACCCCTCTCTGCCCAGTCTATGTTGCAGCAGAGTCGCATGCAGAGTTTGTCCCAGTAGGCGTAAGTTTGTCCCAGAGTAAGTCTGGTCGCAAAGTACAGAGCCCACCAGGAGGGCATTTGGTCAGGAATGAAACCCTTTCCCCTGGGACCAACTCTGCAGAGGGTGACTCTGCAGAGTTGGTCCCAGGGAAAGGGTTTCAATCCTCACCGAGTGCCCTCCTGGTAGGCTGTAGTATGCGACCAGACTTAGTCTGCTGACCCAGCGCCGCAGCAACATCTCCACGGGCAGCAGAGTCAACACGCAACTCGAGCTTGCGTTGGCGAGGCTGCCCTGGTTTAGGTGTGGACATGGGCACTAGCCCCCCCGGTGCCAAGGACGCCTGAATCGGAGCCTGCACAGCCCGGCCCCCTCCCCAACAAGCACCCTTCTCGTCCAAAACGAACTTGTGTGTCTCGCAGTAGTCCCGCAGGGCCTGCGCAGGTGGGCGAGTGTGTAGCAGGAATACAAACAAAGCCAAGTATGTCCAAGGCCGAGTATGCCTCACTGTCATCATGGTGCACTGCAGCTTTTATTGCACCCTAAGACGCCCAACAGGCACCTTGAACCGTCCTCTTTATATGAGCAAAACAAATCCAGGAGAGGCCCAGGAGAAAGCGTGCCGAATATACGGCACCTTATGTGAATTGACATGCTGTATACTTCGCCATACCTTCTCATCATCCTCATGCATGATGTACTGGCCCCCAGAGGGGTCATCACGCCCTGGCAGCATGTATACCAACTGCACGATGTTGTTGGTCTCCCATAGCGCATTGGCGGAATGTGCAAGGGCGTGAGGCATCAGGTACTTCAACCGCCCGTTCTCGTCTGCACCAGGTGCACCAGAAGAGGAACGGCAAAAGATGGAACAGAACATCAAATCGCCATGGCTTGTGATAGAACGCGTTTCGAGCATCTCTCCTAAGAAATGTCCTTCATTCTGAGGGGTTTATTCTTATCTTCATGCAAAAGCCGTTGCAAGTCAACCCTGAATCCGACCGTGAATCTGGGGCAGGTTAGCAAGGCAGAGCAGGTGATCACCTTGCTGCAAATCGCCAATATACCGCGCTGGCAATCAACATTGTTAGTTGGAGCCCAAGGCAGGCTGCAAACCCGTCATGACACCAAAGCACCTTGCACGCCAGCTTACCCTTGTCTGCTGCAGAGAGTAGCCTCAGGCGCACACGTCCATTCGGGTCATTGATATCCAACCGGCGGATGCGCCGGAGCGCCTGCTTGGCCTTGTTGTGGCCCTGTGGTGCCAATAACCGCTCCACAAACCGCTCCCCACGCGGACAACGGTGCGTCCCCTGTCGGCCGCCAAGACCGCGACACAGTCGCCATCGGATAAGTGGTCTTGGTCTGCATCGGTCAGCATGCTCAGGGCGTCCCTGAACTCCTCCGAAGTAGTCCAGAACCGACCGTTGACACGGTCACGTGGCTGTCGTGCAATGAAGGCATTGACAAGCCGGCAGAACTCCAGGAGGGCTGACATGAGCCGGGACAGCCGGCCACTGTGAGTACCGCGCTTCTTGCCCTTCGCCACGGCGTTGCTGGACTTCCCACACTCCTCTTCATCCTTGTCAATATCGCCAAGCTGTGGGTGCAGGACCATGCCCCGCCCACGTGCAGTGTCATCTTCATCATCCGTGTTGGTGGTGAAGTCGGCGGCACCTTCATTCATGTATGGTATTATCATGTGGCGGAGGGGCGAAATCCTGTTTCAGGCGTGCTGTCGTGATACATACATCGTTGCAACTACCATGCCTACATGGCATCACAACACTGCGCACAAAGAACACCCCCCGGGCCCCCTCCTGTCATTGTTTCCTCCACCGGTCCCCTTTTTTTGCCTTGCTCCATGTTTTTGCCCCACCACAACCTCCCAACACCCGACCATGCGGACATGGAGCGGCTGTCAACATGCAGCTGTGGGCATCTAAAACCCTGCATGACAACTTTGCATGCCCGCGCCGTGACTGTATGTGCTACCCGCAGCTTCTCAAACCACGCCCCTGAACGATTCCACGAGAATGTGAATTGCCTCGACTGTCCTGCACACCTGTGTCCTGGAACTCGGCCTGCTCCTCGTCCATCTCCTCATTGCCATACTCCGCGTCTGCCTGCCCTGCCACACTCTCTGACCGAGCGGACTGGCCCAGTGGCGGGGGACCAATGGACACGTCCGCCAACAACCGCATCCGGTTGGGCCCATAAGGCACACTGCGCACGGTTGCAGTAACGTACTCCCAGACGCTGCCCGGGCGTGGGGTGCCACCAGTGACGGGTCCGACATCCATCTCCAAAGTATGCTGCGCCTGTGGTCCAGAATGGGAAATTCACACACATGCACCCAGTGTGAAGCGTTTGGTCTTAGGCTAAACACTCGAGTGTGTACCCACAACCTGGCTGTACCTTTGACTTCCGGATGTTTGAAGACTCTAGCTTCCTCTTGACACGAGAGATACCGGGCCCGTCTGACAGCACTAGCGCTTTACATGGTCCACTTACACAGGTCAGACGGGTAGCCATGCTTGACTTGGTAGCCCAAACCAGGACTCCTTTATGACGCACTCCTTTATTAGCCCCATATAGCACAACCCAACCTGTACATGCATGGCGGGTATGACTGTGTTCAATCTCTAACGAATTGCAGCACCCAGTCACCTACCCTGTGCAGTCCCTTGTTGATCGCCTCCTGAATGCCGGCATCGTCAGGGTAGTAGCCAAAGATTGCCTTGTGCACCCCAACTCCCTCGGCCTGGTAAGCAAAAGAGCATATGCCCCACGTTTTTCTTTCGGAAAAACGGAAGATCAACTGTGAAGCTGGACTCTGTGTGTCTCACAGATTACGACCGCCCTTTTGACAAGCATACACGACTGCATCACATGTCGGGACAAACCCAGCTTCTTCCAGGGCCAACAATGGAATGTGAACCTTGGCATTAACTTTTCCCTCTTCACCAGTCCTTCGCTGAGGTTGGCCAGACGTGCCCTGAACATCCCATGCATACAGATCCCACCTCGGGCGAGAACGTCTTCGACTTCCCGCGTGACACGCCACGCTTGGATGCTGGGATGGACCAGTCGGTGTCGACTTCGTTCTCCAGCTGTGAGATGAAGATCCGTATCAGCTCCTCTGCACGCTTGAAGCCGAATACGCAAGACGTTTTGTCCGCACAACGGAGGGCTTGGAAGCAGTACTCGGCAAAGCGGCTGGAGAGCCGCCCAAAGTCACACTTGACGAGAACCTGTTGGGCAGAGGGTGGAACCAACACGAAACAAAGAAACTTAGGGACCAACAGCTGCAGGTTGCCAATGTGTGGTTGCCTCCTCTCCTGGGGGGCCCGCTGCTTCTGCAATGTGCAGTGTGCCACGATCCACGATCCAAACCCTATGGCAGGACCAATTATCCTTGCGGTGGCTCCCCAAGCGTCACAATACCCCACCTTGTTGCGAACACAGAAATCACGCATGTACTTGGCCATGAGGATGACGTTGTTCATTGTGATGATGACATCCTGCTTGGTCTCGCTGGTCAGGAAGTTGTCCTTGAGCGTTGCACCGAGCTTTGGGTTCTTGGCTGCTGCTTTGCGTAAAGCAGTCTCCCAGTGGCCAATGAAGACCAGGATGAAGGCCGCACGCTCGATGGCGTCCTGGCAGAAGGTGCGCAGTCCACAGAGAATAAGCACCCTTGCATGCGCGAGTCGGGACGCGGACATCACACAAGGACAGGAAGCTGCACTCCATGCCCGCCACGACCATGCATGCAAAAACATAAACAACCGCTGCCTGTTCACATTCCTGATTCCATGTTGTGTAGAGGCAATCACAAACCCACCTTAGGCGTCATTTCGACATTGAAAATGCTCATGTAGTTATGCATAAATTCGAGGTACAGCCAGGTGCCGTACACGGTGCCGTCAGCCGTCGGCCCCTCACCACCCGCCTCACTCCGACCAACATCCGCTAGGGTGTCGCGCAGCGTGGTCTTGAGCTGGACCACACCTGTCTTCGGGTCCATACCTAGGTCCGCCAGCCTGGGATACATGGCACCGCAAAGATATACACTAATTAGGGATACAAAGCTTAGGAATGGAATGCAAAACATGTACTCGAGGCACACTGGCACGGAACCCAAAGCGCTTTAGTTGCATACCTTCACATTTGTTACCGCTCTGCCACCCCGACCCCTATTATAAAAAGTCGTACAACAAGCAATACAAGCTGAGGGGAGTGCACAGGTATGGTGCCGGGACTCGGGAAACCCTTTGATGTTTCGGAGGTCCTCGTTTTTTGCCCAGCATAAGCTTTTCACCCAAACGCTCCGTGGCTTCCGGCTGCACCGTCCCCCCACCCTAAATTGTCAAATAAGGGGTCCACCCCACGCAGTATCGAATGCTGGATATAATGCCAGCCACACGGTCCACTGCTTCAAACCCATGCTGCTAACTCACTTCATCGTCGCGGCCTGGTTCTGCTTGTCGTTGTAGTCCAGGTCACTGGCAAGAAGCTGTACCTTCCCCTTGCGTTGCGTGTCTTTGCTGAGAGTGATCAACACGCTGGGGTCAATCATGTAGGGCCCAATGAGCAGCTGCTTGGTGGGATGGAGGAAGGCGCGCCTGATGAGTGGGGAGGAGGGGACAATAATAATGAGACGGGTACCACACTCCTTAATGTACCCCTAGAAGCATTTGGAAGTGAGAGGGAGGAGTTCAAATGTTTGGCCCAACACCACACAGTTACACCTGGGCTTCCTGACACCTCAACCAGCAGTCGTAACTTAGGGACGAGCCGTTTCTCAAAACAATAACGGTACGGCCACTGATTTCAGCGTACCTTAGCCGCCAGCCGACATGCATCCAGTCGATGGTCATGAGCTTAGAACCCCCACTGCAAAAAGGTGCAAACATCTCCATAATAGGGTGATCCACCACCAGCGAGCCCGCTGGGACGTCGTCCCGGTGGACGAAGGTGAAGCTGGCCACATCCTTGATGGCTTTCCTGTTGAAATGATCGTGCAAAGTACTCAACCCCCCAGCGTGAGCTAAGCAGCATGCGGCACTCCACTAACGGCCCATCAAGAACCTAAGCTTAGGGTACCACGAAAACCCACAAAGCCTGTTTCTTGAAGTGTGGTGGATGACCGTATGCCCTTTGCATGATTGCCACACCCTTTACCTGTATGCTGCCGCACCGTCGCCACAATGGCCCATGGCCACACCACCAGCTCCATGCAAAGCCTCGTCCACCTCCATCATTTTCCGCAAAAGCTCAACTGAGCCATCGGTGTTGTCAGATGCCGTGCAGAGAGCAGGCAAGAAGCCCGCGTGGGGCGCCATGGGAACCATAACATGCACGTACAGTGACTTGGCGAGCCCACGCTTCAGCAGCTCATCCTGCAGCTGCTCAACCGACTTGACCTCCACCACACCACCACACATGCCGTATACGAAGTATCTCCCGTCGCGGTGTGCTACGTCAAGCCGTGGAGTGGCTGCACTGGCATCCTCACATATCATGATAGGTATCTCGCTGGTGTTGTACTTGCTGAAAACCTGCAGCCCCTGCGTATAACCCCCCCCCCCGCAGGTTCCTCTTACAAATCGGAAACACCCTGAAGTGGACGAGGGAGGACAACGCCTGTCCTCTGCAAACCTGCATCAATACTGATTCTTCATCTATGGGCCCCCCCTAGGCTTTTACAGACACCCCCGCAATTGTGTGGAACTTGTACCTTGCACAGTAGGGTTACTAAGAGATATCATCCCAAGCACTTACTTGCTGTACATTTTCATCGACCGAGTCAAGCCGGAAGTAGGCTGAGCTGGCGCGTGCTCCTCGAACCGTGCGCAGACAGGGTCCATTCAGGTTGTCTGACACGAATTTGAACACCAGCGGACCGCCGAGGTTCAGTAGCGTGGTGTAGAATTGTACCTCCGCTGAGCTGAAGCGCCGCCGTGCTGTGTGGATGCTCTTTGCAATGCCCAGCAGGAGCTGCTCGAGTGCGGAGCCCTCCAACTTGAAGTCGTGAGCCGCACCTACAACCAGGTGCCACCAAGTCCGATTATCACATGGGCAGGATTAGAGCGACACGGGCAGCAACATCTAGGACCTAACTTGCACCATTGATGCAAAACCCCTAAACCCTTAGTAACAACGAGGACACAAAGCATTTGACGGCTCTAATGCAGTGCTTTAGGGAACACACGGTTCCCCATCCATTTTCTAGTCCGTCCCCGTCCGTCTCACCTGTCGTGTAAGCCTTCTCAAGAAGCGCAGTCAGCTCCTGCCCCCCCCCCGCTGTTTGGCTTGCTCTCGCAGCTCCTCCTCACAGCCGAGCATCTTCACGGTAAGCTGGTCCACGTCGCGCGTGAGCTGGACATTTCGACTTTGGCACACTTCCAGCTCCGATAGCGTGGCTTCAAGATGTGCAACAAGCTCCAAGTGGCCAAGCTCACGGATGCTCACATGTCGCAATGCTGGAATAATGTTCCGTGCAGCATTCTCATAGCGGAATGCTGCGCGTGTGCCCTTGCGCTTAAGCTGGTGCACATCATGCTTTAACAGCTCAGCACACGCAGGGCATGGCTTCCCAACTGGCCTGGCAGCCACAGAGCACAGCACCGCACGAAGGCAGTGTTGCTCACCCACAAAAGCAGGAAGCTTGGCCCCCCGTGCCACCATATCCTGTGTTGGGCGTGCACTGTTAACCTCTCAGACCTTATTATGAACACATTAGGCCTTGTGCGCCTGATGGAACCGCAGCCAAGGCACTCCCCTCCCCTCCGTACCTCAAGTTCACCACATTGACTATGCAAGCAGGCGTCTCCACGACAGGCGGCTGCGATATCTGAGGAGTGAAGGACACCTTGCGGTGCGCAGCCGTAAAGGTGTTCATACGCAGGACCTCGGACACCGGGACAGAGCAGCAAATCTCTGATGAAGGAGCTGCGAGCTGTCGAGGCTGCCACGAAAGACACCGTACGATCGCCGTCGGTGGTTTGGCCTGTGATGTAATTGAGTGACCCGAGGGCTGCCCCGATCGCCCGGGGAGAGCCCGGCTGTGTTCGTTCCGAAGCAGACTGACATTCCGAAGCAGACTGAAGCGACAAACGCTCGTTGAAGCGGATCTCGACTGAGGAAGAACTCGCATCACAGAGGTCTACGTACCTAACTTCACACTGGCTGCTATTGCAAGTCGCGCGTCCGAAGGGAGGAAGGACTGTTATGTTCGAAGGACGGCCACAGCAACAAATTATAATGCTGTGGTTAGAATGGCAGAACGTACAAGGGTGTTCTGTCAAAATGTCCATGGCTGGGACCGTGCACCATTGGTTCAGGTTCATAGCGCAGGAGTTCAGCTGCACATTCCGGCGCCAACATTCCACGTTGGGTGCGCCAAAGCGCTACGATAAACAACTTGATAACATTACATCAAGCCAGACAGTCCAATTGGAATGCTTTTGAGTCGACTTGGACTTCTGCGCAAGAATTGCTCCTATGCACTATAATGTGCAGAGTTAGGTGGAGTTGTGCCACAACAAAACAATAAAGACTGCAAACTTTCTCAGAGTTGTGCATACTGGCTTGGGAATGCGGTGCGGCATGATGCGGCCAGCATCTTCGCGCCTTGCAACTTCAGCTCAGTTTGCATGACTATAACCAATAAAACATCACAGTACTAGAGAAGCAGTTTGTATGAGGAAGTAACATGAGAGCTTAACAACTAACTCCAGGGTGGGCCTCACTTTGAGCCAGGACCCCCAAAGCGGCTTGCTGTTGATAACGTTTTGTTGGCTTAGATGCGACGGAGCGAAGCGACCGGATCGTCTAAGGCTGGTTCTGTGGTGCTGTCGTACAACTGGGTCGCAGTGGCGACTTCATTCTTGCTGCTCTCCTGGTGAAGTCATTATGCCTTCACGCAGAAGAGCATACAGCCTTGTCCAACTAGTCAGCGTGACAGGCTGTACTTGGACCCTCAAACCGGCTTGCTGTTGATAACGTCTTGCATGTTGATACGCCTCCTGCGGACTTGTCCCCCAGTAGGGTCTGCAGATTGCATACAGATTACGTTCGGGTCTTATTCAAAGTGTCCCAAACTTCGTCTTGGAAGACGCCCACCTTCTTAAGCGCAAGCTAGTAACAGCCCGACGACCGTTTGTTATCTCTTCCAGAATGGCATCCGATGGTGCCCTGGGTGTGGATGTGCATGGGCCGGACAAGGTAAGAACGGGGTTGGACTGCGTCTGACTGAAGAACTGGCACCAATGGTGCACGATTCTCACATTTACACCAAGTCGCGTTCCATGCCTGTTCTATTCCCAATGGTGTTAACCTTCTGCAGAAGCGTCAAAAGCTGGCAAAATTGACGGGGTTGGGCTTCGCCAGGGACTTGGCCGAAGTCATCGTGGAAACGCTTGGGATGGACCCCATCGGGCAGTCGGCCCATGCTGCCATCGCCGAAACATTGTCTGGAGAAGGCTTGGTGGACTTGGCGTCAGTGAGGACCGTGGCTGGCGGTAAGAACCACTTCAGCCTATTTTGGTTTCACCGCTTGCTGAACAGGACTGGACAGGACTGACCAGGACTGACCAACCACTACAGGGCATACTTTATCCGACGCTTGCGCTCTTTGCAATGTGTCTTGTTTTAGGTCGATGCCTACGCCCATACCAATGGAAGTTTGGGACCCTGGCATGTAACCGACTTTGTGAGCCGCTGCCTGTGACGCCGACTCAATTCGGTTTTGTTTTGAACGAAAGGTGCAAACTTGCTGTTTCGTCACCGCCTGCTTTCTGTCTTCCTTGCTGGCACAGAGGTGGCAGTCAACGCACGGCTGGCGGATGCGGATTCCGAGGCGGCAATCAAGTCGCTGAGGGCCCTCGCCCCGAACCTTAAAGCTCTCCAAGCCCTCAAGCTTGCAAAAGCAGCATGTGCCCCGACTGTGCAGCCCGCGGACGAGTTGGGCGAGGATGCGTCACCACGGCTGGAGAAAAAGCGCAGGACTAATGAAGAGATGGCCAAGGCGCTCGTGGTAAGTCTATATCAGGCCGTCTGCACGTATGTTAGCTGCAACCCGGATTCCTTTTAGGCACAAGAGGGCGTCGGGTCTCATGTTAGGCTTCACAGCGGGACCATGCAGGTTTGTCATGGGTTTCAGCTGCTGCCGGCTTCGGTTGCCAGGAGCGCGGGGTTGACGTGTATATGCACAAATTTTGCGAGTGAAATTCGGGGTTGGCCAAGCGACTTAACCGTCTTAAATTAACACCAGAGCGTGAGGTCGGGAGGACGCGTCTGCATGTCTCTTGGCATGCAGAAGTTCACAGAACAATTGAACTGCTGCAATGTGCAAACAACATAGAAGCAACATGAACTTAACAAGCGTGCGAAATGTGTGCGGGTGGTGAAGCGGCTTGGTTAACGTACCCAAAATGTGAAGGCCATGGCTGGCCGCGCAAGGGGCAGCCTTCAAGAGGCAGGAAGGCTGGGATGCGCATATACGTGTGAGGTATACGGGTGGGTCCTGCGGGTCCGTTCCACAGTACCCGCAGCCGAAATGTGGCTTACGGCCCCGGCTGCGGGACCCAAATGACCGAAATTCGACCAAAAGACGTGATTTGCAGCCTCTATTGCGGCCCGTCTGGCCGCGCGCTGGACTCGAACTCTCTGTTTGACTTTGTAAAAGACTGCCACGACCACCTGTACACAATTCGGTGACGGTTATCATTGATAAATTAATATATTTCTAGCGTCTGTACCGACGACTTGCAGCTGCCGCAGCACTTGACTTTGTCAATTGTGGAGTTTGGCATATTGGTCCCATGTGGCCTATCCTTTACATCATCTTCAGCATATTGCTTGTATGTTCAGCATGATTTCTAACTGCTGGCCGCGGCATGTCGGCGGCATCTCGCCGGGGAACGAAGGAAACGGTCGACAACGCACGTTGGCCGGCATGCTGACCAGTCGTAAAGCCACTTCTGAGCCCGCAGCAACAGATATTTTGAGGCGGAAGAGCCGCTACTTGGGCCATCGGGCAGCGCCAGTGAAGGTCCAAGCCTACTTTTCCCAGCACCACCACCTCCCAACTTCGGAAACGCCAGCACCGTGGCCCTTCCTCCACAGAAGAAAAGGCACACTCAAGCCAACACCGCCGCCAAGGGTCCAAGTCAGCAGCCAGCACCTCTCCTGCCAACCACCCCCAACACCACCGCTCCCGAACAGCAGCCGGCAACACTCCTGCCCGCCGTCACCCCCAATGCCAAGTCCATGCCATGTCCACCAACAAGATCGATGCCGTTGGTGTCCCCCCGGGGTTTGAGCGGCCTCATATTCCCAACGAGGACATTGTTTGGCTGACTGACGCTTGTGGTGATTTCAAGAGCTGGGCCTATGCACTTCAGGGCTCGACGACGGTCATCTGCTTTTTTTTGCAACACACATAAAGAAGAGTAACACCACCATTTCCCGCACAAACTGGGATCGCTCAGCTTGCACCCGTCACGAGGCCTCCCACTCCCACAAAGCGGCTGTAGACCAGTCGGTCATTGTAGGGTGACCGCAATTGGTGTTAACTTTTTTTATTAATTGTCTTTCTTCTTTCTTTTTGTTTTGTTGTCGCATTTTTTAAGCAACCGTTAAGCAATTCAATTGTTACTGGACCCCTGCATGCCAAATGACCTGCGGACGCGCCCGCTCGCCTTCATGCTGTGGCGTTTCGCAGTAGCGGGGGCAACCCGCGCACAGCAGCCAATCTGGCGTCCGTCAACGCACGCCCACGAATTTTTCACACGCATAATCCTTATCCCACCAGCACTCCTGGCTCTTGAGGAGGTTTGACCTTTTGCGCGGCCCGCCGAGGGCTTCACATTTTGCGCATGATAATGAAGCCGCTTCAGCTCCCGATCGAATTTCGCCCGCCCGCGAATTATACGCACATACGCGTCAAGCCCGCGTTCCCGGCTTTTGAGAGCGCCGGCCGTGGCCTTCGCATTTTGTAGTTAAGCAGCTATCATTAAGCAGCTATCATAGCTGCTTAGTGATAGCTGCTTAACAAAAAGGACTTTAATAGCTCGGGTTGCTGAGAGGGCCGGCGACAGGGTCGCAAATGGCAGCCTTCAAAAGCAGCAGGCATACAGGGTGTTTCCACTTGGCCGAACACTAACACTAAGTTCGAATGTTCTTCGTCCTGGACTAGTCTCTCACCGTCCTAAATGCATATATTCATATAACAAATGATAGTAACAAATATTCATCAAACAAATTGGAGGTTGGGGCACTCCTGGCGGAGAACCGTAAGGCCTCGTGGAAACACCCCGTACACTAAGTCCACACTAGCGCGCCACAAAGTTAATGGGACCTCAGAGCTGCCATTAACTTGAAGACCTAGCACCAACTATTTGGCGAGCAACTTTTAGGAGCTGGTTTGTCCCTTCTGACCACAGACTTTAGATGTAAGCAGCTATCTTTTTTCCTTCCTGCAAATGCCGCGTTGACTTGCGCACGCCCAACACCGGCAGCCTCAGAAGGCCGCCATTTTGTGACGGAGCCCTCGTTTAATAGGAAAAGCCTACGATCGATATTTTCCTTACAGACATTGACAATTAGCAGCAATTAATACCTGGCGCTAAAACATGCAAAATACGAATATCAATTTGGTTTCGGCGCTCCCTAGTGCACCTAGTGGAAACACCGTCACACTAGCACTACCCTAAGTCCACACTAGCCCATAGTGTACCGAAGATAGTGTGCGACGCCCTGATAGACAATGTACACAGTATTGCCGGCAAGGGCTGTGCTGGCCTTTGTTTCACCTGAGTGGAGCTCTGCAAGGTATATTCTTGTATAATTGCCAAGCAGCATTAAACCTGGGCAAATGCAGCTTCTGGCGGCACGGCATGCCGATGGTAGCCGTGCGCTGCTATCAAGGCGTGCCACGGTTGCTGCATGTTGCTGGCGTGTCATATGTGTTTTCACAGTGCCCTCATGCAGCATGCGTTGCATTTCTTTAAGGGAAGATTGGTCTCAACTTGCATTTACCACAGCCGACCGCTTGTTCTGGTGCCTAAAGCCCTGCCTACATCCCCTCCGCTCACTGCACAACCACTATGTGCAGTTTTGCAAACTTAGGGTCATGAACAGTGCCGGGCGCTGTACATTTTCCCAATTTCAAATGCGTGTAAACGGATGTGATGTGTGTCTGGCCGTCTACTCTTAAGCCACTACCGCCACCAGGGTTGGACAGGACCTTCCTGAAATGGTCGGGTTGCCGGTTTTCCCCTTCCCATGCCCGTCGGCCCCACTCGATAGCGTTTTTGCATATCTTTCAATTTCTGTCGGGTGCCCCGATAGCCCATCCCAAAACCTGTCGGGTGACGCAAGAACGAAATTTCGCTGTGTGCCGCTTGAAATTACATTTATTCGTATTTTATATGCGCAGTTTCCAGTTCTCAGTTTGCAGTTCACAGTTTTGATATGCACGAACAAACACACACACACACACAGCAACACATGCACGGCTGCACGTCTGCCTGTGAGCATCATAAAGAAGAAGAGGCAACAAAGTGAACGAATGCTACCACTACATTACATATTTCCATCCAGTTATATTTTTACGAATGCATTATGTATCGCTGTAGCTGTCCGTCGCCGAAGGGCCCACCGACGACCCACGGCACCCGATCGGGCGGTCCTAGCGCCCCTAACCCTGTCGGGTCCCCCGACGGGAGCCCTCCGGGCCCCGTCGGGGGCTCCCGATGGCCGTTTGGCATTTTCTCCCTTTTTCGTCGGGTCCGCCCGAAAGCATTTTTCAAAGCCTGTCGGGATTTTCAGCACAAGTGCCATTCCTGATGGGACCCGATCGGACTGTCGCACCCTGACCGCCACTGTACTGCTGCACCCTATGAAGCCGCAATTAATGCAGCCAGCTGCTTCACCAGAAACACCCGATGATTGACGAGTTGAAAAAAACATTGGCCAGGAACTCAATTGCTCCTGTTCCAAGGGGGGCCCCAAAACTTAATACCCATTGTTCAATGGATTTCCTACCCCTCCCTGATGCAACAGCATACATGTGTTATTGGCCAGGCTACAACACAGGGTTCGACACCCCGTACGGGGCCCCTAAGTTTTTGGCCTTTTTTCGGTATCCCCCCGGGCCCCCGGCCGCCCCCGGACCAGCTGAAGGCCGGTTACGGGGGCCCCCGTAAGGATTTTAAGGATTTATAAGAGGCCGTACGGCACATATACCCATGCTTAAGCTGCCGAGCATGCTTCTCATGCTAACGGCGGCTGGGCTTCCGGGCATCCACTTCAAGTACAACCAGTACCGCTATTTCGTCACGGCTTTGCACGTTCTGAGTGAAGTCATCCTTGCCGCCCAGCTTGTTCGAATCCGTGAAAGCCCATTCTTTAGTATTATGTCAGATAGCAGTACGGACGTATCGGGTGAAGATCATGTTGAGGAGCAGAAGGGATGGGCGGCCGCGGCGGCCAAGGCGCATGGCTTTCACTGAGTGTGCCGTGTCCCCGAGTGTAATGGTTCACGAGAAAATAACGAAAACAACGATTTACAGGGCAAAAAAATGCAAAGCGTCACTTTCCACAGCGTTTCAGCCAAGGACAGTGCCCCCGTAAGGGTTTCGCAGGGGTTACGGGGGGTACAGGAGCCTGGTACGGGGGCCCCGCCTTAAGGAAAACTTGGGAGGTACAGGGGAGCCCGCAAGTTTGTACAGGGGAGCCCGCAAGTTTCAGGAGGGTCAGTGTCGAACCCTGCTACAACATCAATGTGGATTTTTGACATGCATGGCCCTGGTGTTTACTGCTTACAGGACGACCTGGTTGCCAACGAACTGCTGGAGAATACAGTGGTAACCTTCAACCTGGCAGGGTGTCGGAAGGCGTACTCTGTCATCGTTGTGGACTCGAACCAGGATGGCTCTGTCTTAACGTACCCTGGCAACCAGCCTCATCCGGGGTTCACATACTGCATGGCATGCAATTATGCCTTGTGGCCAACACAGCCACCACCAAAGCTTGTGCCTGCTTCAGAGAGCATCACCGGCAAGCTTTGGGACGCATGCGACAAGGCATTGCGTGGGATTGCCGCCACAATGCCTAAGGCGGCGGCCGTAAACACTGCTGACACCACGCGAGTTGGTGGTGCAGCTAAAGCCAAGGGTGGCAGAAGCGGCGGTGCTCACCACAGCAGCAGCGGCAGTGGTTTACAGAAGCAAGGCTGCACTGGTGGTGAAAACTGCAGCAACCAGGTGTCACCCCCTCCACCTGCACTGCCTGCGGTGTGCTTAAATGGCCCTGAGCCCAGTGAGGATGTGGCTAAGCACAAATTTTTCAATGGACTAGCAGGCTGGATGCCCAGTGCTAGTTCGAAGAGCCCGCTTGCCAACATCCGGGCTCATGTGAAGGCTAAGACGCATATTGAGAATATGCACTGGCTACGCCTGCTGGCACGCAGCGGGGCTGGCCACTTCAGCTGGCTCCGCAAGCCCATTGCTGGAGTGCGACTCTGCCCGTATGCAGTTCCACTCCTTCGGCCGAAGGCTGAGCCACTGCTGGTGCTGGACAGCAGTGAGGCTGAGCACATGGAGGCTGCTGCTGCAGCCCGTGCTGCAGCTGCAGCTGAACAGCCTAATACCACGGCACCCCAGCTGCAAGCCGACAGGGCCATTGCAGGGCCGTCAGCAGTGGGCACGGCACAGGGCTCAGCCGATGATGATATGACAGGGGACGGCAGTGCGGTGGCCATCAACTCAGAGTCTGAGGGCATGGAGGAGGAGGCGGAGGTGGTGGTGGTGGTGGAGGAGGAGGAGGAGGACAAGGAGCCGGGTGCACACTGTGTTGGCAAAGATGGGGTTCCTGAACGGTGGGTGTGCTGCCCCAAGTGCCATAAGAAGCACAAGATCATCACTTGTTGCTTCTGCAAAATGACTTGCTCAAAGTCCATCATGCATGGCCGGCCCCAGCACCTCGTCATCTTCTGCAAGCAGCACGACGAGGATTATCGTTTTGAGTTGAAAGTGCGCACCTAACATGCCAAGAATGCTGCCATGTGCACGCAACCATCGCCTTGGCATGATACAACTCTGGGATGTAATGGAAAGGGGATGCTGGCTGTCTTGCACTGCGGGTTTGCAGGGCTTCCTTGGGCAGAGCTGGTACAGGAGAAGGCAACGCCTTGGCTTTGGCTGAGCGACGTGTGGCCAGGGCTGCTCTGGGTTTTTTTGCAGAGGCAAGTCTAGCACTGTTAGATATCGCCGAGGGGAAGCTGTACAGGTTCGCGGGGCATGCCAGTTTTGAAGCGTACATAAGGAGATCTTCGGCAGTGCTTGGGTTTGGCTTGC